AATATTTCAGAACATTTTAAACTTGTTAAGGCATTTTATGGGGGCAATAACCTTGAATTGAATTTCAAAGCCACTTAACTTTTAGAGAAAGCAGTCAAATCACTTTAACTTTTTTTTTGCATTTCAAACGAAAAACTCTAACATAAACGAAAATTAACGGATTTTATCAATAGCAATTAAACTATAGAAAGCATGTGGTAATGTATTATTTAAAATTACTTTATAATAAATGCAGCTATAATTTTATGCATAAACTTAGCTTTTTTTTGTTGAAAATTTTTATAGCGTGATTGTGTAACACTAGATAATGTTTTTCTTTATTCTTGCTTTCCATGCAGATTTCTTTTATGGTTAAGATTTAAGAAATAAATAGTAGATACTACTTTACAATATAAAGATGTATCCTTTGCTATTTTAATTATGTCTAGTGTTTGTGAATTTGAAACCTGTTTTGTGTCGTTAATGTATTTCGAAAGATGATTTTCTATTTAACGAATTTTCCATATAACGAACTTATTATCATTGATTTAACAACTTCGTTAAGTATAGTCCGACTGTATATATTATTTTTTTTTATATTTGTTTTAAATTTAGGCTTTTAGCTATTTTAGCACTGACTGTAGTTACTTTCCTTTTTTTTTTATATAATTTTCTCTTTCCAATTGCATTTATTTATATATATTTTAAAATTTATTTTTAACTGTTTAGGCACTCATGTAATCGCTATGATAAGCAAAAGAACAAAATAGGTAATACCGCTAAAAAAAAGTCTAATGTTGCTCTTCAAAGATGTCAGTTCTACTATAAACGTTATCTTAACCATGAGCAAAGCTTAAAATTTGAACACTTGGTAATTATATATTTCTTTTTTATTTTTAATGTCTTCTTTAATATTGCCTTTTTATTTCATGCTATTTCTGTCTTTTCAGCTTTATGCCTGGGCTAAAGTTAAAATGGAGGAAATGATGCGACAGCAGTTGTCTTGGATAGAGGTAAAGTTTCTTAAAACAGCTGTAGATGTATTGTGCATGTGTCGTCAAACGCTCATGTTCACTTATGTCTTTGCACATTTCTCCAATAAAAGTAATCAATTTGCTATATTTGAAGTAAGTTTTCTTTTTTATTATACTTTTAACACCTTTCCTTGTTGTTTTTAAAATTGTTATATTTTGTACATTTGTACTATTTTTAAGGTATTCTGAAATTCAGCTTTTTTTTTTCTTAATTGTTCATTCTGAACCAATGTGCTAAAATACTTAATGTTGGGACAAATCATGTAAAAATTTCAAAATGTTGTGAGCATTAATAACCTTAATAAATTGAAGCAATAATATTTTAAGCAAAAATCTGACCAACAAATTTACGAGGATGGTAAAAGGTATCAGAAGGATGAAAATGTAACATAAACATGTCACATATTGCATTGAGAGAGTAAAAGTAGCACAAAAAAAACATTCAGGCTTCAATGTCACATTGGAAAACAAC